CGTGTAGAGCAAGATCCAGTGTCTTCACCAGTGTAGGGCCGTGTAGAGCAAGATCCAGTGTCTTCACCAGTGTAGGGCCGTGTAGAGCAAGATCCAGTGTCTTCACCAGTGTAGGGCCGTGTAGAGCAAGATCCAGTGTCTTCAACAGTGTATGGCCGTGCAATATATAGTTACACTGAGTTAAAACAAATTAATTTTCTGAATGTTTCTATCAAAAGCCTGACGTTGTACTCTATACAGATTTAGTTATAGTTTGTAGTTATTATCTTGAGTTACTATCTGTATAATAGTTTAAAGCCTGGTTTACACTATCAAAGTTTCTGTGATCACATGCAGTAGGAATTTTGTACACTTAAATTCTAAGTTTTGAAAGAGTTGTAAGAAATGTTTGAGGGAACTGATTTGGTGTTAAACACCAAATCAGTTTCCTCAAACATTTCTTATAAATCCTTCAAAACTTAGAATTTACTAATATTTAAACTTCCTACTGTGATCACAGAAACTTTGATAGTGTAAACCAGTTTTAATCTTCATTCCAATTCTTGCATTATTTCCTCAGAATGCTGTTGCTTACGTGGGGTGTCGTAATGGCAATATAATGTGTGTAGATATTCGAGTGAAGAACGCCAAGCAAAGCAAACCATTCAATGTTAGCGGTAGGGTAAGATCCTCTGCGACTTCGATGAAAGTTATGCAAGATGAGAATTATTTGATGGCTAGCAGTATTGATGGAATGGTTAGTTGTATATATGTTTAACCATTAAGTGGCATTGCACCCTGATGCACCCTACTTTAATATTTTACTCCGTTTAATGCCAGATGATTTTACTTGTCAATGGGAGACTGATGGCGCTCAATGGGTTAACAAAACACATTTACAGATAGTTTGGTTAACACATTAATGCGTAAGACTCACTATTGACGAGTACAATTACCTGGCATTAAACAGAGTAATGTAATGAAGCCAGGTGCGTTTGGGTTATTGCGCTTAATGGGTCAAGAAGTCTGTCATACACTTGTTGTTTTTACGTCTGACTGGGTTTTGATTCCTGCAATATTTTCTGATTATAATTTCGTCTCAGTAAGAAGCGTGTGAGAAGATTGCCTCCAGTTTGACAATAACAAACACGACAGGATTCTGTGGGTATCCCAATTTCCCCCCGGTAATAACTGTGGGCCTAATATAGAATTGCCCTTATAACTGAACCTCAAAGGAGAACAGTTTAGAACTGATATAGAGCTATCTTACTTATCTAATATAAATAAAGTATAAATATCCAGTATAAATAAAGTTCGTTTAGTTTAAGTTTCATCCTGTTGTAACACCGGATTAATAAGAGATGATCCCTACTGGACCATTAGGAAGAACAGTTTAGAACTGATAGAGCTATCCAGTATAAATAAAGTTAGTTTAGTTTAGGTTTCATCCTGTAGTAACGCTGGATCAGTAAGAGATGATCCTTACTAGATCTCTTGGAAGAACACTTTAGAACTGATAAAGCTATCCAGTATAAATAAAGTTAGTTTAGTTTAGGTTTCATCCTGTAGTAATACTGGATTAATAAGAGATGATCCCTACTGGACCTCTATAGGGAGAACACTTTAGAACTGATAGAGCTATCCAGTATAAATAAAGTTAGTTTAGTTTAGGTTTCCTCCTGTAGTAACACTGGATCAAAAATACAAAATCACTACTGGATCTCTAGGAAGAACAGCTTAGAACGGATAGAGCCATCCAATATAAATAAAAATACTTTAGTGTAGGTTTCTTCCTGTCGTAATATACACTGGATCTTGTCGTAATATACACTGGATTCCTAATTGATACAAGGAATTTTCCTTACTGGACCTGTAGGAAGAACACTTTAGAACTGGTAGAGCTACCTGTGCCTGCATCTATCCAGTACCTTTAGTATTAAGGGGATGCAATTACTACCATCTAGATTAAGATGTGGGATGTTCGTTTATCAAAGCCAGTCAGGGAATACGCAGGAAATGTGAATGAAACGAAGTTGATACCATTTGTTATGGATTCCTCGGAGAATATTGTGGCTTCAGGTAAATGAATCAAGCGTAACTATTTCCTATTTTGACTTCACCAAACACCGCAAGTTTCATCTTCAACCTCGGTGAAAATACTCCGATATTTGATCATGACACTGTCGTTTAATGTTTTGACTATTTTCAAATTTCTTCTGCTTCCTGTTTTCGCTTAACTTTTTTTCTCATATTTTTTCCCTTATGTTATGTCAAAATAATCATTATGCATTAAAGGTCATTATACAGTTTTATGGCTGCTTTCCAATTAAGTGCGTAGGGAAAAGTTTAAATCTTTTAAATTTCATATAAAGTACTAACAACCTCAACAAATAAACTTTAAATCATATAGAAAACCAAGCTGACTTTTTATTCATTCAAAAAAGCCTATCTACTAGTAGTTTTATCGAAAGAGATCCTAGATTAAAGTTTTTTATTTATAAAAAGTAGTTTTTTATAATCATCGTGGGGTACAGTATGTACAGGGGTATGAAGCACTGTATCCGTATTTGACAGTTTTTAAGACCTTTTTTCCGAAGGTAAAAAAATCACCATCCGGTGAGATTTTGGCACAGGTTATGAGGTTTCACATTACGATCAAATCAATAATTCATGAGCAATTCAGCCAATAATAATCACCTATTTCATCACAAGATGCCATTTGGATAACCCGGTGAAACTTGATGAAAGTCACTGGTGTTTTCATCAAATATCTTAATTACGCATGCTAAATTACTTGAATAGAATACTCGCGCTTCGCACTCGTGTTTTCATACATTGTTTTCTCGTGTTTGGATATCCCCGTGAAACACTCGCTCTCGTTGTTCATATATTACATCAAATTACTTAAATATATTAGACGTTTTGAGCGAAGGACCTTCGCCTTGAAATAGACTGGACTGTTTATTGCACTCTCGCCCCATTGGCCTCGTTTGCATGCAATTAGTTCCTCATGTTTCATGTACAATAGGCAGTGGCGAAGCTAACCATAGTAACTTATTTATTTATTTAGCTTTGCCAACTAGGGCAGGGTCACCACAACAGCATATGCCAATTACTGTGAGCCCTTTTTGCCTAACGCACCCTGTCAACTTTCCCTGTGGGAGGAAACCGGAGTACCCGGGGAAAACCCATGACTTTCGGCAGAGCGTTGACTTTTACTCTTTTCACATGAGGACTGGGTTCGAGTCACATTGAGAAAGTTCTCACTGAAGGGATTTTTCCAGTCCACCATGTTCTTAGCATGTGCCCTAAAGAGAGGCCATCACTAAAATTTAATGTTCCAGGGGGGGATTCCTGTTTAGGCTTGAAACCAGTGTGTTGTTAGTACTCTGTGGTAATGCACTCATGCTATGCAAATTTTAAAATTTTTTGTGACTTTTGGTCCACGGGCATGGCTAGCTTCGCCATTAACAATAGCATGCATCAAGCCTCGAGGATAGGCTTGTGTGTCTGCCATGCAAAAACAGACAAACAAGGCCATTGCTGCAACAGTAAAATAAACAGCAATGTCTATTAGTCACAGACTCACAGTTTAGTAGACGACAGACTCACAGTTTAGTAGACGAGTAGTGACCATCTTGTGGAGAGGAATTTGAATCTCGCTCTGTAATCTTACAATCTATATTGACCATGTGTAGTTTCAGTTGGTTATATCTACCATTCTTCTCACATCTGTAGCTGGTCAAGATGGTAAAACGAGAATGTGGAGTATACAAACTTGTGAACTGTTAAATACCATTGCTGACACTGGAAATGGTGACATTCCCCCTCTATGTTTGGGTGAAAACTGGGCACTAAGAAATAACATGATGGCACTTGGCCTGGGAATAGAAGATAAACTCAAGTTATATTTTTAAATTATACGAGTTATTTATATAATAGATATTGATATTATTATCACAGAGATATATTTCATATATACAGTATATCATGACACCCTTACATTACTCTAGTTCGTATCTGAGGATGACAATTGCAAATAAAAATTTTGACGTCCGATCCCCTTCACTGGTAAAATTGTCAGATTTGAAGGTTTTAAATTAGCTCAGGCACCAACCTTGATCAGGTGATAAAAACTGTCAAATGCTGTTGACAAGCATGAAAATGTTTTATTATGCAACTGTTCATTCTTAGTAAAACAGCAGTACTCCTCATCCAATCTCCCAAATGATTTACTAATTCAAGGAAAAACCTTTTTCCAAGGAGGTTCTTCCTTTGAAATGAAGGAAACAACATTGGGCAATCCCCTTTTTCCAGTTCTGCAGATATAAATATCACACTAACAAAAGCAATTAGTTAATTAAAACAGATTTATTTAAATTTGTAGCTATATTTTGAAGCAGATATTGTAATATATTTCTATAATATACAATTTAAGAGTTTACTCAAGTGAATGCATAGAGATTAAATATTTTTTGAGAGTTTATAATACAATGAAATTGATTGGATTGAAATTGTAGTCCATCATTTGTCAATCCTGTATCTATTACAAGAGAGATATACAGCAAAATTACTTGGTCCACAGTACATCCGTTCATGACAAGCCAACCGCTGATGCAACATTGCTGACAAATGGAGGCAGGTACAGGTATGTGGAATAGGTCGACATAGCAATCATTGAAACAGCTAGAGCATCTGTTTAACTTGGTTAAGGAGAAAAGTGAAATTAAAAACAGTAGGGGTGCACCGGAACCAATTATTTAAGTTCCGGCCAGAACCGGATCCGACCGGCTTTTTTATTAGTTCTGGCCAGAACCGGAACTCTGATTCCGGCCAGAACTAACCGGCCGGAACCAAGTCCTGGTCCAACAGCCAAAAATATCAAAATCCAGGGGGTGACATTTCCTTTTATAGAGCTGGAGGGGCATGCATTGCAACCCCACCCCAGAATTCTGTACAATATACTCAAATGTCTATTTACATTATCAAAATAGACATTAAAGTATACACATTGATATGAAAGGATACTAAACAACATTTTCTCCCAAGGCTCCAACATGTACAACGCCGTAGTCACTTCGTATCTGTATATTGTCAGGTCAATCCATTCTTTTAAACCACCCAGCATATTTCAAATTATCAACTTTGCACGGTCCAATAAACAATTATATTTTACAATTTTTCCAACAATTTTTCGATCTTTATACCCAGAGTATATAATAATCTTCCTCCAAATCTGTTACACTAACTTTTAAACTCTTTTTTCTTGTTTTTTTTAGCCGTATTTTGATAAATTTGTGATTGTTTCGAAATCTAAAATTTTATATTTTTAGCCAAGTACTGTCAAAAAGATAATTGCGCATACTCGGCGCAGCTCGGTGATTGTCGTTTTATCTTCGGACATTTTATGCAAATTTTGACTAAATTTTGAGAATTTCGCATGTATATTTTACTCTTTTTACAGTATTTATTGTGTTTTAAAAAAATGGTACTTATGAGAAACTCTAGAACATATATCATCACAGACATGAATATGGCTACTGTACAAAATTCTGGTTTCATGACACGATACTTACAGTAATCCAGTTTCCTATTCATATCAGTGATTGGAACGCCCTAAAATCAGGCGAAAGCTTGCTCGGGCATTCAGGTTGTTCGTAAACAAAAAATGACGTCACATCAAAATAAATGGAGGAAGAAACCGAAAATGATCCTGTTGTATTTCAAGACAGTTTTTGTCCGTTGTGTTCCAGTAAAAGAAATGTTTTTACTTGTACCAAGTGCATAACCCTTGGTTTATTCTATAACAGTCGAAAACCAAGTACTGAAAGGTATTTTTAAGTGTAAATACGAGACTTTCAGGCGTTTGAAATTCAATAGGGTGACGGTCTGTCGATCTGATGTAATAAAATTATTTTAATTATAAAATGCTGAGCTGTGCACATTGCAGACATTGTATGGCATGTATGAAGGTCTTATTGCAAGTCCTTAGATGTCAGTTTTTGCATCGGCAGGCAGAAGGCAGCTGTCAGTGAGACGTCAGTTCCAAAATTGCAGTTTCATTTTGTCAACATTTAAATTAGTTAGCCCCATTTAGATCCTTCTGTGTTTTGTCAGGATTTTGGAATACATACTTTTTTAGGATTTTCGCATTAGTTCAAATACTACAATGTGTAGGTCTGTTGTGCAAAAATTGAAAATGTTAGTTTCATGGATTTGGTCCAAAAATTGAACCCTGTGTGACACCATATGTCCGCCCATTCTGTAATTCTCCATTCCATGTTTTGCAGATAGCCTTGTTATCATTGCAAAATTTATAAAGTGAATTGATACAACCCCTAGAAAAGCTCCAAAGTTTGCACAGTTTCGAGGTATTTTTGACATGCAAATTTTGGGGCCCCACCCCCAAAGTTTCTTGTTATTAAAGACAGCTGATTAAAGCAACTGAGATAATGTAATTTGAACTCTACTAGCCTTCAGCTATTAGAATTATATTTGAGACAAAAAAGATTTAACAGAATTTTTCCATCACTATTGTGACTCCTGTTCTTTTTCTGATTATAGTTACGAAGAAAAAAGACAGAGATTGGAATCAATAAAGAGATTAAAAACCAAATATTCTGAAAGGTGTGATAATGCACAAGTGTATTACTATGCACCCAATATATCCCTTGAAAGACCATAACAATTGAAACTTGTTTAATTTGGTATAGAGTGTTACAGTCTATCAATACAACTCAATCCTCGAATGAGTTGGTAAGAAATATTTCTTTATATAGTAATGAACAATATACTTAATGGATCACAGGAATCAACTAGTACTTGAACAAATAACTAAAAAAACATGTGCTTGAAATTTCAAAGTTCTTGTAACCCCCCTCCCCTCGATAATTTCTGAAAGGCTTTAAATTATGGCTGAATAACTGTACAACAAAGATGTAACAATAATTTTTCAACCATGAAAGGATTGGTAGGCAGTGAATTAAACTATATTTTACATGAAATTTAAGGCAAAAAAATTTTAAGGTGGTCATATGGTGGTAACCTAATTTGCCCCTCCCTC